GCCTTTGCCGGACATGCGCCTTAAGAGCATTCTATTTGATTTTACCATCTGACTGCTTGAAACTTTTATCAGCCCTTTACTTTTTTGCGGTATCATTAATATTATTCTGAATTCAAATATTTGTATACATATGATAGTAAAATTTATTCCTCGCATGGTTGCTCGAAGAGTGGCCATTTACGAAGATTTGAATAATATTATAGTTACCTGGTTCCAGAAAAGATAAATTTATAAGATAAGATAAGATAAAAGATAAATTAAACTATTGATAGGTATAATATGTTAAATATTTTATTCAAAAGTCTTCTAGAATTTTGAGCTTTACGATGTGATGCTCATTCTTTTTTAGAAACGAGACAAATTTCTTACAAAAATTCATAAAACATTCATTCGACGATATCGGAGTATTCCTCCTCTGAATTCAGCCAATTAGTTAAGGCAGTCGAGCGTCTACAGAGCTTTCTCTAGCCGCTCCTCCACTTATAGATCCGATCCAAACTGCTTTGATCGTATAATTTTGATTCACTAAGAGTAAAAGAATCAAGCAAAATTTATTTTCGAGGCATAGCAACTTAAAAATTGTTCTAATTATTACGACCCCAGCTCGGACTTTAATGTTACCAGAGGTAGTGGGTTGAAGCTTCGCAAGTGGATTTGTAGGACCAATGTATTGTCCTATAATTTCTCATTAGGGGTAGCCACTGGCTACTCGAACAAGTTACCACACGAAGTTTTTCCATGCATCTCCTGTTTTAAAAGAGTGCGTCATAAAAATGAAAATTACGGCCCCATTAATATCCTTTTTTTTCAATTATTTTATTCTGTTTTCACTTATATTCCTTTTTAATAATACTGAACGCATGGACTGAACCACGATACTCGGAGATAATAGTACGAAAGAATGACGGAAACTCGGCCACACTGTCGACATTTGGTCTAATAATGTCTAATGTTTGTTGCGAATCTTGGTTACCACTATCGAAAATGATAGTAGAGAAAATGCCTGAGTAAATAAATTATCATCATTATCACTATTATTATTATTATTTGCTATTTATTGCTATTATTATTATTAAAATTACATTACATTTATGAAATATTATGATGCAGATGAAGATCGTTTTACATTTTCTTTTTCAATTGGCGCAACTTATAATTGAAGGTTTATAAATTTTATGAATTTTTTGCATCATAGAACGAACTCGTCGAACAGCTTTGCATCACAAAAATTCTCGCCAAAAATAGATGTATATTGGAAGTTTTCATTCGTCGCACAGTTGCATTTGATTACTATAAAAAATTTTTTTGTGACCTTTGACCTAATTTTTCGCAATTTCCATTCATTTTAATAGGTTATTCGTCTTATTTTATCATTCTTTAGGGGGAAAAATATTAATGAAATCATTTTATCAATGAAATTTTTATCAAAATTTTATGCGATAAAATTTAAATTTTATGCAGAATTTAAATTTATTTTATTAAAAATTTTTTTGAAATTAAAAAAATTTTCTACTGGAATAGTATTAAAAATTATTTTTAATAAAATAATTTTAAAATCACAAATTCATTTTGTATTTTATATGATTTGATTTCTTATCATTTAAACGAGAACTATTTCAAATAATTCAAATCGAAGGGAAATTTCAAGTTCAAATAATTTTATTTGTTTGACCTTTTCAAAAATTATCCCAATTCAATTTAAATTATCCCAATTTATTAATTTTTCTATATCGACGGTGAATAAAAAACAACAGAAGGACGAAATGGTCGGATGTTATGTTGTTTTAAGCGAAGGTTCGGTTGCTCGAAAGAGGTAAGCAGCAAAAGTGAAATCTGGGGAGTGCTGAGGACTTGATTCACTAAAATTTGGAGGAACAAACGAGAGCCAATTTCCATTTATACCCTCTGATATCCGTGCATTTATACCCTCAATTAGCCCTCTGACAAAACAATCTCATTAGTGGAACCAACCAAACCAGAAATGCCATTAGCAAATGAATGAGAAGTAGGAATAAAAAAAAGTATCTCCCATTTCTTTAGGTTCATAAATAATTTCATAAATAATTTATGCGCATGAGTTGTAAATGAAAACTTGTGTTCTAAGAATAAACATCTTTAATCTTATCTTTCCTTGATCTCTCCAAATCTCCGCTCGAAACTCTTATGTCCCCTTGATATTTTATAATTCTTCAAGATTTTCAAGGCCGAATTTTTCGCTATTTTTCTGACAGATGCTAGAAATGGAGAAGGACGCTGTTGAAAGGTTGCAACTTGGTGTAACTTGGGAAATTTGAATATAAGTCGCTGCTCGATGAAGAGAGAGGAAGCTGTTATGTTAAGCATGTCTTTAACAGGTTGGAAAGATTCACAAAAGTAACACGTTTTTTAAGGGATGTGGAAAGGGATAAGGGAAAGGGTTTCAAAGAGACGGTCTGAGATTTCGCATGCAATCGGTTAAATCGGTATCGGTATCGTCAACCGGTTTTTTGGAAGTATTAGTTATAACAAAAAAGCAGAACGTGATTTGGTATTTTAGGATGCCATAGGAAGATCTGTTGTAGATAATAAACCATTTAACGCATTTCGGCCTTTTGCAAAACTAAAATGAAGCGATTTGATGGGGCATAAAAGAGAATTAAAAGAATATGACGATTGTAACAGTTTCTGAGGAAGTAGTTGAGAAGTATAATGGTGTCTATGGTATAAAGGGGTTTAAAATAATTGCTAATGGAATATTATTATTCTTCTTCTTCTAACAGCTCTCACCATTACTCATTAGGCTGGCTGCACTGATTACAAGAGAATATTACCATATAGCGAATTGTCATATCGAGGTTTGATGGAGAGTTTAAACGAATGGACCAAGTCCGAAGGATGTTAGCGGAATGCAAAAGGTTGAAATACAGTTTAAGTGTAGACGAGTCTGAAGCCTAAGAGAACATTACAACGCCCAAAGCGAGAAAAAAAGAGAGCGGCGCGAATATAAAAAAGGAAATAAAGGTATTTCGGCATGTGTTAAGGGAAGTTTGCGAGATCTTCGCAAAATACCAATACTAAGTTTTGGCGAAGACAGTTGAATTTCTTTTCGATCACATTCACGAACAGTAATTCGTTACGCGATGATAAAGTCACTTCAAAATATCACTGCGACATCTCGACGTTTGGCATCGTCCATCCTCATAACAATGGCTAAGTGGGTTGTTGCTCGATTGGGAGTGCCGATGCTGGGGTTCGATTCTCCGCAGAATTAAAACTGTCTAAAACTCCGAATGATGCTGGCGACTCACCGCTATTTCTATCGCCGAGCGACTCTTTGGCACATTGCTCAATGTGACAAGCCAGTGGAGCGAGTTAAACCAGTATTGGTGAGGAATTAGGAATCTTAAAATTATTTCCATTTTCGCAACTGTCTTTATTTAAAATTATGTTATAACATTATCTAATACGAATTTTTCTTCTCCTTCAAACACTTCAGCATTGGCGTGTTTCGTCGGCTGCTGGAATATTAGGGATTTCGTGGAGAAACAACAGGATTTTCCCTCTTCTAAAAGCTCTTAGTGGTTAGGCTGCCTGCGCTGGCTGCAAAGGTAAGGCATTTCCAGGCTGTTCGATCCGAGCCGTCGCTCATAGTAATAGAACCATTCCTTTCCTCATCATCAGTGCATACATCGCTAGTCCACCTATGTGAAACCTTCGAAACCTTTCCTCGCTAGAGGTTTTGTTTGGAGAAACTCAGTGGTTTTCTTCGATTTATTCAATTTTCATTTACTAACTGTTTGATGAATTATTCGATCTGTTATTTAATTGAAATAGGTCGAAAAGTCATCCATGAATTTAGAGACGATAATCAGTAATATTAGTCACCATTAAGCAAATATTTGCTATAATAACAATGATTCATATCAGTATTGATTACTGAGCGATCAGACCATAGCGGCGATGACAACGACTTCAGTAATTCCCCTGTGACCTTTGCCAAATAAGTTAGAACCCTATCGATTCATTGGCGACAGGTCAAGCACTGTTGATGACCATTCTCGAATCTCTGGCCACCACACTTTTATTTCGTTTTTCATCTCTAATCGCCATTCCTTGGCTCTCATAAAATGCTAATGTTTCTTGAAATCTCTCGCATCTGCAGTTTCGGTGACATTTTCCCATACCCGACTTATATTTCGTTGTCTTTTCCAATTTCTTTCCTTCTTTTCCCTCTCCTTTATTTATTTGTCACTAATAATTTTTACCTTGATATCAAGGACATTGTCCACCCTTTGTTCACGTATTCATCATGCGATTTGACGGTGCAAGAATTTTTGCAGTTCTCTACGGTCCGTATTTTTGCATTTCTATAGTCCTTCTTCAAACAACTCTCACCATTACTCGTTCGGCTGTCTCCGCTGGCGCCAATGGTAGGACTGTCCAAGCTGCGTGGTCCGGCGCCATCGCTGACAGTAATAGAAGCCATTCCCTTTTCCACCGTCTGGGTCCATATGTCAGTGGTCCGCCCGTTCAAAAATTCCTATAGTCCATGTTTTACATTTCGTATTTCGCTTATTACGACTCCTATTCGTTGATTTCTTTGTTGTTTTCAATTAAAATGTTTGGTTATTTTTTTTTTATAAGTCATTTTGTTGATTTATTAATTTAATTAAGTAATTGTCATTAATAATTATTTTTTCTTCAAAATTATGCTGTCGAAATTAAATTAAAATTAAATTAAAATAAAATAAAAAATTCATTTAAAATTCATTTATAAAATATGAAATTATTTTCAAAAAAATTTTTCTCGCTTTACAATTTTTTGCTTCGTTTTTTCTACTTCAATATTAATACTTAATTTAATATTTATTTAATGCTTTTCACAGTATTTTATTTTTTTATATTTTTTTAAAAATATTTAATTTTTGAATGAATCATTCATTTTTTTAAAGTGATTTTAGTATGGAAAAAAATTCTGACTTTTTTTTTAGAAATTCCTTAAATTAAATTTGTCGAAAATAATGGTTTTATTGCGATTATCAGCTGCAATTTTACTGCTGTTATTTTTTCATATGCTTAACGGTTGGTTTTTTTCTTAAATTTTTTAAAAAATTTTTAGAATTTTTCTTAAAATTAATAGCAATTTCTACTAAAAAATTGTGCTATTTATCTGCATGAATTTTTTTTGAATTTTCTGAAAAATTCTTTCAAAATTTTTTAATTCAATAAATTTTAATTTAATAATAATTAAATAAATTTTTGTCTATTATATATTATTCTTAATATTTATGAATTCATAAAAACTTTCTGTAGCACAAATTGTACACAATGCAGTTCAAGTAAAAATATCAGATTTACCATTCCCCGTGTCGAATGCTCAACAGTTAAATCAAGTTGTTTGGACGATGCTTGGTACTACTACTAAGGTTTCTACATTTTTTATCCAATTTTTTTGCTTTTCTGACATTCATTTTGAAATTTTACTGCCTTTTATAAATTAATTAAGCTTAATAAAATTTAAGCGATTTTTTGCTTTTATTTAATCATTCTTTTGTTCTTTTGAATTTAAATTTAAATTTTTGAACCAAAATTAATTTTTCATTCTTTTTTTAGGAAACGGTATATTGTGTATCGGAAGCTCCAGTATCGCAGCTTCGATTTGTTTGCATTGACTGTTTCCAAAAAAATATCACTGATATGGTTGATGTTCTAAGTAGTGCGCAAGATTTAACTCGTAGTGCTGGATTTCCGGTATTTTTTCCTTCATTGATTAATTTTCATCATTTGATACTTTAGTTTTTGTGAGGAAAAGCTATTCTGTGGTTGAAATAATGTTGGAGGACAATCTTTTTTTGTCAGAGAGCAATTTTCCATTTAATCCTTGCATTATGTGGTATCCGTTTGAATTTCATTGCCTGGATATAATTTTAAAACTGTTGCATTTGAAGACTGTTTCAATTTTAAGACTGTTGCATTACGAAATGTAGCGGTTAACCCAAATTGGACTGGTGCAACAATAATGTGTCAAGCGGCACTGAATGGTGAAACAATAGATTCAGGTTCAGCCGTTGTCGATGTTCGGTATCTACGACAACCACACTTAGTAGATGCATCAGGACAAGGACCAGTTCTTATTGGGAGTCAGGTAATCTGTTATGTTCTTTCATTCTTTTATCTTTAACAACCGAAAAAATCCTTAATAACTTCAAAATTCTTTTTCGAAAATTTCTAGATATTTTAAGATTCTTTAAACTTTTGGTTGAATTTCATGGCCTGCGCGCGGCGAGGCGAGGTGTTAGCCGTAGCAGGGACACTTACGGACATTGCAAGCCAAGCAATCACCGTCTGTCTCTTTCTAGATATCGTGTGGGTATAATCCTCACTTCAGGCCTTGAGGTTTATTATTAAACCTGGCTTTGAATAGAGGTGTATTATAGTGTTTCGGATAACTTGGAGATAGCGACTTCATTGTCTGAAAGGATCTCCGATCTGATTGAGTGGATATCGATAAAACTTATAGTTCGCTTCAAAGGAAAATTCTGTACTATTTCGGTCATCAGTGAATGTGCTCCAACTTTATACGCAAATGACCTCGACAAGGATAATTACTATCCAAACTTCAGCTCTTAGCTACATCTCTACCGAAAGGTGAAGCAGTCGAGGGAAACTGAAATATTCGCATAAGTCATAATATTGCAACGACTTTATGGATCGACTTTATGACTTTATGGATATATTATGCTTCGATCCGCATAAAATTGATAAAGCTTGTAAGAAACCGTCTCCCAAAATCTTTCAACTCTCTTAAACTAAAAAATTTGTGGATAGCGAACACATTTCAAATCGAATTATTGAAACATAAAAACCTCAGTGATATAAATATCTACGGCTTTTCTGAAACGGCAAACGAATATTGGTCCCAACCAAAAAAGGAATCAGCAGCTTCCATGCTAGGATATACTAGTAGGAAATGCGCCAGTTGGATATCAACTATCCAACTGCCCAAAAAGCACTAAGCGCGATTGTCAGGAGATCTTACCGTTTTGAAGAATTACGACAGCAGCTTGAAAGAAAACTTTTGAAGTGATATGACCTTGAAAATGGAGGTGGCAGCTCAGTTGGGCAATAATAGACTATTCCGTCTTCTTCATAAATCAACTATAACTCGGGATTCAATGAAAGTAGAGGATAATAATGGTGTAGTCCTGTTAGGATTATTAAGGATGGCCTCGTAAGATGAAAGGAATTCTTTAACCAAATTTAACCACGATGCGCCATCTGTTGTCCTGGTCATAATTGATTTACCCATCGAGCCATGAGTTTACAATTGCAAGTCGTCAACAGAAGAGGAAATAATCTTTATCATCCAGAAGTTTGAAGTTAGTAAAAGATGGTTTTCGAGCTGAACTCTTCAAATCTTGTCTGTTTTCTTTTATAACGCGCCTTAAAATGTATGTCTTTTCAATAAATGTATCTCTAGTATGGAAGAAAGAAATATTACCAGATGACCAGAACAAAGAAATCCTGCTCCCATTTCCAGAGAAAAATGGCAAGGCATACTGACAATTACTGAGGAATTACCCTACTAGACATCTCCGGAAAAATTTTATGAGGCAGTGATGCGGGATGCATCCTAATCAAGCTGGATTTAGACCGGGTCGCACTTGTGCTGACCAGATATTTACGTTAAGAAAAGTATTGGAATATCGCTTCAAATATCTACAACGTCACGTATTTCATCGACTTTGCGGCTGCCTTCGATTCATTTGATATAATGACGCTTTCGAGGATGGTAGAACTTGTCGGGATTCCAGAGATCATTCGACTCATGAAGGCATTTTATCAGCACAAATCTGTCTCTTTCGAACTAAGAACTGGTGCCTGTCAATTCTTTTTTCTACAGTATTCAACAATGAGATAAATTGGATAATGGTCATACTTATTGACACTCAAGAAATATATAAATCAATCCTGAGCATAACATTCGCAGAATATGGTGATAATATAGTCCTTTTAGCTGTCGGTTATTATCGTGATAAATTGCAAGTAATGCTAAACAATATGTCGACAAATGCAGCCATAATCGGACCCAGGATCAATGTAAATAAAACGAAAGCCTTTTCGTCTTAAATAAGAAGCTGATAAAATATTTATTTTTAATCTATCCATTGAAAATTGAGGAATTGTCAGATTTTAGATATCTTAATTCCACTCTAGTCCCAAAGAATCAAGCGAAAGACCTGGATAACGTAGCTATAAATGCGTTGAACCCTTATGGAACCATCGCGAAAGCGTCGTAAAAACGAAAATCCGCGTCAATATAGATTTAGTTGGCTCGATCTTGCTATATAGCTGCGGAACATGGCCAGTGAGAGTGAAAGATACTCTCTACCTTTGATCACTTATGTCTAAGATGCATTTTACGAGTTCGCTGAAATCTTACATGATTTCATCATCGCTCAGATACCACTTGCATTAACATTACCATCGCAGAACGTGGCCTTCGCTTGTCAAGGCACGTTCTTCGCCCATTAGAGAAGTTGTGGAAATTAATACATATTTCGTTATTAGCTAAATCCTGTGATAGATGTGGTTAGAAACGTGTTATCTGTCAGAGACCAATCAAAAACTAATCTGATCCAGTCAGGAAAGATTTTGAACCTATAGAAAGACCAGCGACATATGGACTTAGATGATGAAAAAGGCAATGGTTTTGTTACTATTACTAGCAATGGCATAAGATCGAGCAACTTGGGTACTTGGACATCCTTGTAGCCAGTAGAGGCAGCCTAAACAGTAATGGTGAAAACTGTTAGGTGGTAAAGGGTTTCAAAATTCTGTTGGTGATGATTTTTTGATGTGTGAAAGCTCTCAAAGGTCGAATTTTTGTGCTTTTTTCATCCTATTGATATAAAATATAAAAAATATAACCTTTTTAAAATCAATTTTTTTCAAATTTTTTATGTTTATGAATGATTTTATTGTATAAAAAAAGATCAAAGATTGATCATTTTTTGAGGGATATCGCTTCTATGTTGAATGTGCAAGAACTCCAGAAGGTCATTGTCAACAAAGTGGACGCCGTAAAGTTCTTCGATGTGCCGTTCAGGCTCATCCTCCAGCTACTGTCTTCAGATGGTTGAAAAATGGGGTTGTTATCAGGTTTTCTTAGAATTTTTTTTCAGTTTCATTTGTCAGATTTGCTTTTTGAAATTTTTAGGAAATTTTGATTCTAAAGAATTTTTTTTTCGTAGATCATAGATTATTTCTCAAAAAGATTTCATTTTAGTGGAAATAGTGCAGATATAACAATTGGTACTGAAATGATTGGCCAATCTATACAGTGTTCAGCAAATAATGATCTCTTTTCTGAGAACGATATGCCTACTTCACAAGCTGTTCAGATTGATCCCTACAGTATTCTTTAATTTTTCATTGTTTCACTTAAAAGTTTTACATTTTAGATATTTGAAGTTTTCTTGACTGTATCATCACATTTTAAAAAAAATTCACTTACTTCTTATAGTAATGGGGGGTAATTAATCTATTTGAGGCATTTCAGTTCTACTGATATTTACTGATATCTTCAGTGGCTTTGCCATGGAAGCTGGGTCGATCTCGTTTTGTATTTACGCCTCATAATAAATTCTTAATGCTTTAAAATCTTTTCATTTTTATTCATTTTTATTGTTCTTTTAGCAGCAGCTCGTATAATCCAAGACAATTTTCAAACTCTACAAAATACTGCACCTTTCCAAACGGGCAATCGTGTTGATATGAATCAACAGATAAATCTTGGATGTCAAATTGAAGGCAATCCACGTCCAGTAGTATTTTGGAAACTGCGAAAATCGAGTGGACAAGTTGTTGATGCTATATGTCCTCAAGGTTTCGATGGTCAGTATCAAGAAGTTCCTCCTGAACACAGAAGTCAAGCGCTTATCACAAATATCATTGCAAGTTATTTAAATTCAAATTATCAAATTTCAAAAAAAGGATTTTTAATACTTTATTTTCTGAATGTCGACATCATTTTATATTTACGCCTCATAAATGTTTATTTCTTTTTTTTGGAAATATCATAGTTTTTTTGAAAATAGATTATAACTCTCATAAAGTATTATTTCGAAGTATTATCATAAGGGTCATAAAGATCGCAACTTCGCAACTTCTTAAATCTTCAGTGCATCTTCTTTTTTACGTTTTATTTATTTTTACAAGATTTTTTCGAAAAGTCGAATTCAATTAAACTGGAAGTTTACTCTATTCGCAAGGAATCGGCTTTGAGAAATTTACTGATATTATCCAATTTGATTCGGTTCATTGATGGGGTGAGAGAAAAGTTATTTTGGATTAGAGGAACTGGTAGATTGTTTGTATCATCTGGGTTTCACTTTTAACGGCACAATTATCATTCCCATTCGCGAGCAGAGATCGTATAATATTTAATTTCACCTGTTGATTTTTGCTTTTCTTGGTTTTAAACTTAATTTTAATCTATTTTATGTATTTTCTGTTACTTTTTAGCGTCTTAATGCGATTTGTTCCCTTCGTATTGGGAATTACTCGTACTCTGGGCAGTATTGGTGTTCTGCTTGTTCATTTATTTCTCAAGGAGCTCCTGAGTGTTCGCCCTCTCTTGAAACTCCTGGAGCAAGTTCTCTAATGGTTCAAGTTCAGGGTCCTCCCATGGAATCGGATGCTCCACCGACTGTGGAAAAAGTATTATTCTTTTTTCATTTTGAAAAATCTTTAAAAAATTTATTAAATATTTACTCTGTTAGTCATGATTGAATACAAATTTTAGTATTTGAGATTTGAGAAAATGAGGATATAAACTTTTATAATTCATTTCAGACCTCCACAATGGATGGAGCAATAGTTATTGTTCATTATTGTTCTGAACCATTGCCGAAATTACCTCGAGATGTGATTTTCTCTGTCGACCAAAATGAACTTCAAGTCGGGCAGAGCTGGCAAAATTTCAGATTTGATGGAACTACTCAAAATAATACAGTGCCGAACTGTCATATAGCGCGGTTACAAGTTTTACCACTCACTGAGGATGATCATGGACGTCATGCAGTTCTTAAGATTCAAAATACTTATGGTAGTAAACAGTAAGCAATTCAGATATCTTAAATAGACTTTACTGCTTCCCTTTATAGTTGGACGAACTGGATAAAAAAATCAAGTAGGAGCAATTTTATATGTTCAAGGACCGCAATAATTTTATAAGGTTATAAATTGAAGAAAGATTACTTAAGCTGTATTGCAGCATTCAAGTGGACTTGTCGTCGTTGCTTGGAGATGGTAGATCAAGTATTACTACTTTTCCTGGATGGTTGATTATATTTTTAGCATTCTTATGTTGCGCAATACTAATCTCCCTTTGTGTCTTGACTTGTATCAGGAAGAATCTTCTTTGCTTTAAAAGTCAGATTTTCAAGAACGATTTTTAACTTATCTTCCTCAACAATATATCGATCTTTGTTGAATAAATAAATATTTATTTGAACATATTTCAGTTTTTTTTATAAATTTTTATTTTTTAGAAATTAAGGCATCATCAGTGTTCGACGAAAAAAAGAAAGCGAAGTAAGTTATTATTTTTTCGGGAGACTATGATTTAAATCTAATAACTATGGATAATTAAATCTAAATCTAATAAATCTAATTAAATAACAGCTATCAAATGAGCTATCAAATTCTAAGGCAATCATTTGGAAGAATTTTTGGTTTAATCAATTAAATTATAGTGGAAATACCCGGCAAACATATAGTACGGAAGAAACGCCAAGGCCACTTTATCAACCATCTGGGCAACCAGCAGAGGTAATACGATGTGACAGTCGAAACGATTCTGCTTATCATCTGTATTTGAGCAAAGAAGCTGTCGTTTAATCACTATCTTCTTGCTCATCGTACCTCTTACCGAGGTTCATGCTAATCCCTCTAACACAGACGCTTAATATTTTTTAAATCATGCTTTTTAAATTTGTTCACTATGCGACAGCATTTGGATATCTTAAATTTCTTTATTATTTCAACTGCATAACCATATTGTTCTTCCTTCTGATGATGACACTAGTGAAGGAAAAACAGATCAAGCTCCAAGTAATGCTTTTGCTCCATTTGGTTATAATAAGGTTATTAAGTGGCTTATTAAAAAGTGAGCTGATCGATCTGCATCTAGTATATTAGGTTGTACTTCCTTTAGGTTGTACTTCCATGTATTTCAAAGAATATTAGGTACCTACGAAGGAAGTAAATTGAAGATAGAAAAAAAAATTTTCCTAATTTTGTAAAATTCCTAAATTCCAAATTTTTTTAAAAAAAGGAATTCTAATGAAAATTTTTTAAAATTTCGGAAGAGGTTCGGAAAAAAAATTTCATGTGTCCTAATCCTAACTTAATAATTTATTTTATTTTATTAACTTTAATTTTATTAATATTACCGCTTCTTATTTTTACTATTCATCAGTGGATTTGGATGGTGATAATTCGAAATTTATTCAAAATTTTATTTAAAAGGAGTGAATCTTTGTGCAAAACAGTTTATAAAAAAATATCTAAAAACCTAAAAAATTAAATTTAAAATTTAAAAGTGAAAAAATTTTTATTATATTTTGATGGTTTATGAATTTAATAAAGGAAATCTTTCTTTAAATGAGAAATATTTGCGTAAAAAAATATTTTCAGCGCCTTGATTATGAAAGTGCTGTGCAAGCTGCTTTTTGTGATTCTCGAATGTCTTCTGTATAGTTTTATTGTCAACTCCTTGTGCCACGATTTTCTTTTGTAAGTTTTCTTTTTCTAAAAACTTGTATTTTTAATGTTTAGTTAATACTACCAATATTACTACCAATAATTTTCCAACGCTAAAAATTTTATTGGTCATTTATATATATATATATATATATAAATTGGTATATATATTGGTCATTTATATATATATATATATTCTTCATTCATTAATATGTAATCTTTTAACGATTATTGGTTAGACTGACTATAGGGGTTAGGAATTTTCAACTCGATCGATCCGGTACCATAAAGAAACCACTTTGCTTAGACTTATCGTTCAGCCACATATTTGTTTAAAATTTTTCCTTGTTTTATTAAATTTGTTTAAAATTTTGTCAGTTCAGTTCAGGTCTAAATATAAGTCAGTTACCGTGATGAATATAGCCTAACCAACGTGCATGATACTTTGTGAAATTGTTGTTAAACAGATGACATATGAGCGAAGATGATTAGAATCTTTTATTAGATTTTAAACATATAGGTGGCTGACATGAAATTTTAGAAAAGTGCGATCAAAGATAGATATCTTAATTTCATAATATCGTCCACTCTGATTGGATTGGCCATATTTCGCAGCTATTTCAAAGGATGCACTGCGGCCAGATAGATACGATAGTTTTTTTTCATACTGATTTTATAGCGTATTTAAAACGAAAAGAATTACGTCTTATTTGATCCTGAGAGGATTTTTATCATAATTATCAATGCTCTTATTTAGTATCTCTTGCATTTCTTTGTCAGCGAAAAAGGCTATATCATCAATATTCAAAAATTTATGATATTATGCTCTGGACCGACTTGTTCATCTCTTGAATGCAAACCTGAATGTCCATAATTAATCTATCGCATAGTTGTAGGTTACAACTCGAACGAACACAAGTTCTTATTTTTAAAGAATCAGTTTCTCATGTAAATTGAATAGATCTATGCCTATATTCGCTCGTAAAATACCTTTAATAATTGAATGATTTTCTCTAGAATCATATTCTTTCATCTTCCAATGCACCACTGAATTAAAGGCAGCAGGAAAATCAAAAAAAACAAGCTATACTATTTGAAGCGATGTCAGAACAATCTCCTTAGCTTGAATATTTGCATTCCAATCTAAATCCAATTTGAAGGGTTCATCCTCTGTCTTGTACTGTCATGCCATAAATTTGTACAGCAGAAACGAAAATTTTCCCGGAGATCTTTAGTAGATTAGCTATTATTTATTACACTCTTCTTAGATAGGAAATAAGATTGTTTTGCTTCATTCATAGTTCTTTCTTCCATATCAAAGAATACATCCATTGAAGGTGGGTTTAAAAGACCATAAAGAAAATCTGAAGATCGCCTATGAACCATCTTCTCCAGGAGATTCATTAAAGGAGATTATTCTTACTCTATTGGAGGTTCGTAATTCCAACATATGGCTCCGTGAGCTATATCTGGAATGACTGATGGCGCATCATGGTTAAATTTTGACTTAAAGAATTCTCTCTATCGTATACAAGGTCTTTTTCGATAGCTTTCAAGAACAGTAATTAATTAACATTAACGAATAATCGGTGATTACAGAATTTATTATATTTATGTGCATTGGCGATTCTCAACACAGATGAAACCGAACAAAGAATTTCTGAATATTTTTTTGGTTGCGTCAATAAACTATTCTTTTAAAATATTTGTTTCGTTCACTTGTTGAAATTGTTTTATTTTATTTTCATCTGTCTTTACCAATTATAATTTTCAATTTTTATAATGTCTCCACAATTTTTGTTCTTTCTTCTTCCAAAAAGAATTAAGACATCTCATTGGACTTCTGTGGCAAATAGTCCTTGTATTGTTTTTTTTTTTTGAAAATATATTTTTATTAATAGAAAATTTGTTGTTTGTATATTTAATATATTCATTTCTACGGTGAAATTTCGATGCATTTTATTTTCTAGAGAGTTTATTTACTTTGCATTTCGTTTTGTATTTCTTCGAAATTGAGAGAATGGTAGTAATTGTAGATATTTTGCGTGATTTATCTGAAACCACAAAAATAGATTTTTTTAACCAGTTTTTTACCATTTTTGTTATATACAATTTAATTGTTTTGATCTCTGAAAATTGAGATTTATTTATCATCATTTTGATTTCGTATGACTGAAAAATGAGATAATTTAGGTTTTCAAGAGTGATTTTATTTTTTAAAAAAAGGGGCTTTTTAAAAATTCAATCATCTGTAAAGGACTTTTGCTAGTGGAATTGAAAAAAAATTTTTCTGGAGTTTGTTAATACAAAATTTATGAAAGTTTTTAAGTGTTCAATGTTAAACTCACTTTTCCATAATTTTATTCAAAAATTATTTACGTTTGATAATTTCTTTATTTTTCGTTTTCATATTTTCACAGTTTAGTTTATTTCCTATTTTTTAAAAATGTTTGCTGTGTTTGTTTATTTTTTTTTAGATCAAGGCTGATTTTTTGAATGAAAAATTTTTAGATTAAGGATAATTTTTCGATTAAAAAAATTTTTGAAAAGTGCAAAATGTTTTCATTGGTGTGCCATTCCATAAATGAAATGCTGCCTTTTTTTCGTATAGATTTTAATTTCCCCTGTATACCTTATCAATTGATTACGGAAATCTATTATTGCGATTATCTTAGGCTTGAAAGAGAAAGGTGAACTTCATTTGTTTATTAGTTGATCTGAACTGTTTCATTTAAGTTTGACAGTAAACCAACCAAATTGTCTTTCTTTGCAAATTCATACAGGTTGAATTGCTATTTATTTTATATTTTTTATATTGTTTTCTTCATTAAATTTATTCGATTTAAAGATCTGGTTTTAATTTTGCTTTATCAGAAAAACCGTGGAAAGAAAAAGCATCTATCGTTTGGCACCACCAGAGTTTATTTAGATCGAATAGTTCCACTGGAACTTTCTAAATTCCCATTTCAGTGGCAAATTTATCTGCAGTGTTTCCTTATTTTTAAAATACCACATGAACAAGTCTTTTCGTTTAATATTTCAAGCTTAAATCTTGTCAGTACAGAATGGCAGGTAATGTGGTTTTCATATCAATCAGTTTCACCATGTTCAAAATTTCCCTATGAATTTTTCGGCATTTTTAATACCAATCTGTGATATGGCTGAAACTAAATTTATTTTTAATCTATTTGATTCTTCAGCGATTTCGATGTTAATTATTGATTATAATAATATCAATTCATAGCCCATTTGTATCAAAAATGATTCGAAAATGAAATGTCAAAACAAGAACGATTCATAAATTATAGATTTATAATTAAATTATAGAATTAATAATTAAATTTAAATAATCAATAATTAAATTTTAAAACGATATTAAGAAAATCTTTATCTCCTCATATTTTATCTCAAAATAGCGATATTGTCAAGAAACTATGGAAATAAACGATAAGGAGATGTTAATGCAATGAATTGAAAGTTTTATAAAATTTTAAAAGATAGCAAATAAAGGAGATAAGGAGAAAATAATTAAATTAAATAAAACATTAAAATACGAATACCATTAGGACATTATACTACATAAAATGTACAAAGTTTTCCACCCGAGAAATATAACCACATAATCTCCTACCTTTATCAGAGTACCAATTTGATTTAAATCATCACTAAACAATAAATACTACTACAGCAGACTAATTACTTATTTAAATACTTATTTTTGTAAAAATGAAAAAGCTGTTTTAAATTGTTTGATACACTTTAGCACTGGCTGCATCTAATTCTGGTTCAAACGATGCTGCACGATTACAAAAACCAACATCTGGTGAATTAAGATATCTTTCGAAATCAATGATAAGCCGCAAATCGGTTCGATCCACATTATCACGCCACGATCGCAGTGATCGGCCGCATATAAGACGTGCATTAAACAAACGACGTTCACGAGCCAAACGGTTGTTACTTTAAAAAAATCCACTAATCGTCCCACAGTTTTCAATTTTGTTGACAATTTCGATGGAACTTATACAGTCAAAATAAAGTGTGAATGGATAATAATAGATAATTAATAAAAAGATCTTTTAACTGTCAAAAATAGTAAAATTTTTACTATATGGAAACCAATCCAAAACCCAAAGTAAAAATTTTAAAAAAATTTAAAAAAGGGTAAAAATAATAATGCTTTTGAGTGATTAAACTCACCGATGAAAACTAATCAAAGCTGATGAAAATGAACAAAGACCAAGAAGTGCTATAAAAATCAATCCAGGACCCATACTGATTGAAGAATTAGGTCGTATTGCTATCAATTCATTTTCAGCAATTAGTAACGTTGCGCATGCTAGTAAAGCAGATACAGCTAAAAACAAATTTTTTTCAGAAAACGTTCAGATCAGAATCTAAGATATGAAAAAGTAATTAAAGTATGTTAAAGTAATTTAATTATATGAAAATGAAAGTATTAAAAATTTAGACGATAATCGATACTTAAATTTTTTTTTGAAAAGCATACTATCGCATAATTCAAGTATTGCGTTTCTTTGTAACCAATGCAAAAATCCATTTTCTGGAGCAGTTATATGTAGAACACATGCTAGGAATGATTTAACAAAAATGACAAAACAAAACGCTATCAAAAGATAGAAATAATTCGCCAGCAATGGAGTTATACAATCGATAAAAACTATAATAATAAAAAGGCGATTAAAAATAAATCCTAAATATTTTTAAATTTAAATCACTTTTGGGAAAAAATATTTGTAAAAAAACATCAAGAAAACAACTAATCCGTAGGAACGATTAGTCTCATAAGATTTTAAATTCGTTTTTTTCATCCGATATATATAACCTTATTTTTTTGATTTCTTGCACATCTGGAATTCGCAAAATTTGGCTCAGGGAAAGTGGTCGTTATATCTGATATACATATTAAACATCTCACCAAATCATTTCACTGCTCTCCCGCACTTAACATCTCACCAAATCATTTAAGGAACTTAAACTTTGCAAACCTAAGCTCTTTGCAAACCAGAATGTTATAAAATGTATTATCTTCCAATCACACTGTAATTTTATCTAAATTTTGAAAGTCAAAGATAAATCCACAAAAAAATCTCACCTCTTCCATTTGAATGGAATGCAATATGATACGTTCCTTCAGTGTCAACAAACGAGCCGAACCTAGATGTGCGCCAGAAATCACGAGTACCAACCCTGATAAAGTCGACAAAAATTAAACTGCTATTATTTTTATAATTAATTCAGATTACATCTTAATTAAATTTATAAATTAGATTGTAAATGCATTTTAGATTTTAACCTTTGGCAAGAATCTGAACGAATAAATGGAACATCAATCACAGAATCAATTGAACCGCTGGAATTTTTCGTATTACCGTTTAGCGGCGCATTATGGTCATTGATCAAAATCCATTCGTCGCTTATTAATGCAGCTAATGCCTATGAAATAAATAAACGTCTCAAAAAGTACTAATATAAAATAAAAAATTTAAAATTAATTTAAAATTAATTGGAAAGATCGATTCTTACGAGGTTAATATTATTTTTTTAACTTTTTTGCTTTCAGAATAAATTTAACTAAAGTCGAAAAGAAAAATACCAAAAATGATGTAAAAATATCTATTATAGCTGACGGTAGATTCGATTCACTAATATTAAAATAATCACATTTCATAAAAAATAACCGCATAGAACTGAAAAATTCAACATAAATGAGGAAAATATTCGCCATTTGTTATTTAATAATAATTGAGCCCATTTAGAGAAAATCATATTTATTGATTTTTATTGAAACTACAAAACTTGATAAATTTGCCGATTTAGCCAAATTTTTTATGGAAAAAGGATAAAAGCAGAAAAATAAAGCCCTAACGGCTTTAATCTAAGTATTTCGAAGCTTAATCTTCCTCAACTCAAATTTACTCAGTCATGATTTTCGAACTCGGTTTATATTATAAAATCTAATGATACCGTTTATGTTATGAAATCTAATGATATGAAATATTACGCAAAGGTGCGAGGCTTACAGGAAAAAATTGTAAAAAATTATGACATTACAAACAATAATTAAAGTAAAATAATCGCTGAAACTAAACTAAAATTTTTTTCAAAAAAATTTATAAGCATTACTTTGATTTGAAATCAATTAAGTAAATGGTTAGCGCTTAGCACTTCTGCTTAAACTATTTCCTCTACCGTAAGAATTTCTTTTCAGGGAATAGATAGAAGTAAAGTACGCAGAGAACACCCAAATTTTAAATAATACCCTTGGTAATGCCAAAACCTTGGTTCTCAACATGATGAAATGAATCAGCATCCCTTAAATTATTCTGCACCAAAACTGAACCGACATCAGATTAGAAATAATAACAAAAAATATAAGAATATAACAAGTTTCTACTTAATAAATATAAATAAATATTAATATAATATAAATATCAATATAAATATTTACATAATATAAATTATGTAAATTTTACTCGATTTTGGCACGAAAGTCGAGAAAATGGAAAAAAAGCTATGAATTATCTTTTGATCTTCAACCAAAATCATGAAAAAAAATTTAATCGCAAGAATTAGAATCAAGCATAAAAAGAAATTTTATGGTAATAATCCCATTTCAGCACTTCACGATAAAATATATATATAAAAATATAAAACCAATAGAGCGTTTGCGGTGATTGCCATTTTAAGTATAATGACAGCGCTTTCGCTTGCTCCCTGCAGTAATGCAGTAATGACCTATCAGTTAAAGTGAAATCTGCCGAAGAACCGCTATCATCAATTGGCTGTACGGCCAGCGGTCAAGTAATAGTAACTCGTGAAGCCAAACGTGACGAATGCTTATCGCCAAACAACAACGCTAGGTATATACATATAAATCTATAAGAAATCCAGCAGTCATATTTAAGCTTTGACCTTTGCCTTTGATGAGCTGTTATTCTCCCGAAAGTGTTCCACTCACCATTTAATAGAAAAAAAATCAATATATTTAATAAAACTACTCTTATTATTATAATTAATTACTTACTTACTACTGGTTATCACTGAATCGGATAAGTTTCGGATAAGTTTTTTTTCTTTTCTTCTTCCCTAAAACTTTTTGCCTTTAAATTTTTTTTTCCTACTAAATCTATCTTAATTATCTCTATTTCTATTATCTATTTTTTGACAGGAGTAAACCTGTCATAATGTAAAAAAATGCGAATGGCTCCTGGGAATTCGCCAGTATCTTTATCCTCAAGTAACTCTACGGTGAAAGGGTCAGGTTTCGTTAACGCGATGTCCACGTCCACGACGCGCATACTACTTGTGACCCGGTGGTACATGCGATAAATGTATAATCCCGGCGTAATAAAAATAATAATAATAATTCAAGGCATTTGCATAAAATTTGCTGGCGAACCGAGATAAGTACTCAAAATCCGTCAAGGGAGGCGAGAACCTATCCGTTAACATTTTTTAAGCGCGGTGAGGTGCTGGCCACAGTTGTTTGGAATGTCAGAACGCTAATGGATGTTGCAAGCCAAACAATCACTCCACATCCTCTCCAAATACCGCGTGGATGTGGCTTGTTTGTCGGAGGTCCGTCTTCTTCATGTCGGCAAGTAATCATTAAACCTGGTTCCGAGCAAAGATATTGGCTATACCTAGTGATGCCTCGGATAACTCGGGGCGAAATGATGTAGCGATTGTCTGAAAAGGCTCGATCCGTTCTGATTGAATGGAGGCCAGTAAATGACCATATGGCCTATGCGCATTTCGAAGGAAAGTTTTGCAATATTTCGGTATATATTTTTGCAATATTTCGGTATATATGCTCCAACTTTATGCGAAACGATAAGAATAAGTTCTAGACAGAACTTGAACTGCTAACAACACCCTTACCGAGAGGTGACATGGTCATACTCGGGGAAGACTGGAAAGCGCATAGGTCATGATGCCGTCTCGATGAATTCGGTAACTGACAAATATGGCATCGGAGTCCAGTCCACCAATGGAAAACGCCTTCTTTGTGTTGCTGAAGAGGATGAACCCTTTGTTACTAATACATGCTTTCGGTATTGGAGAAAACATCTATTCACGCGGAATTCTTCGGACAACCAATCAGATTGACTATATATTGGTGTCAATCACCGCTGAAGAGTTCTGTACCTAGTAATCGCCATGGATCAGACCATGTTATGGTTCGAGGAAAGATTCGTATAAAACTGACGAGTAAGAAATAATGCATCCCAAGAACTTTCAACTTTTAACTAAATTGAAAAATGCGGGAACAATAAGCTTATTTCAAATTATTGAATTATTGAAATACCTCAGTGAAATAAACGTCAATGACTTCTCTGGAAAGGCGAATGAATATTTGTCCCAACTAAAGACATGCATACAAAAGTCAGCCACTTCCACATTAGGGTATATTAGTAGGAAATGCGCTAGCTGAGTGTCGGAAGCAACTATCCAACTGTTTGAAAAAGCTGCCAAAGCCCGAATATTAGGAGATCATGGCTATCGAGTGCTTCGAAGTAATACAAGGATAGCAACATGGAGGGATAGAAATCGCTATTGGAGCGATATAGCCTTGAGAATGGAGGCGGGACTCGAATAGGTGATAATTGGAAACTGTTTCGCCTTCATCACAAAGCAACTATAATTCGAGAAGGGATCAGTGAAATGATACGGGATATTAATGGGGTGCCTATTGAAAGTATTAAGGATCGCCTCAGAAGATGGAAAGAATTTTTTGAGGCCAAATTTAACCACGATGCACCATTTAACTGTCCCGAATATAACTGGCTTGCCCGTCGACCCTTAACGGTTTGCAACTGCAAGCCGCTAACAAAAGAGGAAATAATAATCTCTGTAATCCATATGCTTATAGCCAATAAAATTCCAGGAGATGGTCCTTGAGCCGAACTCTTCGAATGCTGTCCATCATCGTTCATTCATAACTCACCTTCAACAATTGTTTTCTCTGGTATGGCAAAAGGAAATAATACCAGAAGACTGGAGCAAAACAATTTTACTTCCTATTCCTAAGAAAAGTGACAGGACGTACTGAGACAATTATCGAGGAATCAGCCTACCAGACATCTCCGGGAAAATTTTCGCTTCCCTTCCGCTAAATAGTCTCATGGCAACGTAAGATAGCAGAATGGGTCCTAATCAAGCTGGATTCAGACCGGGAAGCAGTTGTGCTGACCAGATATTTACGCTAAGAAAGATGCCTAGAACATCGCTTAAAATACCAGCAGTTGCAATTATTGCAATTATCGCAAGTGGTCAATTTTTCGAAGTTGCTCTGCCATTTACGATATTATTATTATTTTATCTTTATTGTATTGGTCATTCAATATTCAATATTTCAATATATTTACCAATACCAAAATTCAATACCAAAATCAATATTTTTTTTCAATATTTGGAGAAAAAATTTTTTTGTTTGGCGAGCAGTCGTTTTAAGAAATTATTCTCGATTTATTTTGTTTTTTACTTGAAAATTATTTCTGATAACAATTCAGCTAAGTTCAGCTATGTTCTCTTGAACTTTTAATTTTTTTTTTGTCTTTGGCAGGAGTAAACCTGCTATTATGTCAAAAATCCAAGTGGCTGCTGGGGACCCACCTTTAACTCTATCCCCAAGTGGCTCTATGGTGAAAGGGTCAGATACACTTCATACGGCGTCCGCGTCTCCCGACGCGCATGATACTTCGAACCCGGTGGTTCATGCGATAAGTATATAATTCGGGCTTAAAGCGATCCCAAAGATGGTAAATAAAATGTGCTCTCAAGCCAGGGTAATTGCTCGAAACCTATCAAAAAGTAGAACAGCCTTCTGCAAGCGCGGCGAGGTATTAGCCGTATCAGCGTGGAACGTTAGAATGCTTATTGACTTTGCAAGCCAAGCGATCGCTGCCCACACCCTGTCTAAGTATCGTGTGGATATCGCTTGCTTGTCAGAGGTCCGTCTTCCTCACTTTGGATCTCGAAAAATTATTAATCGTGGTTCAGAGCAGAGATACTGGCTATATCACTGTGGTGCTTCGAATAACTCGGAACGAAATGGCGTAGCTATTCTCATGTCTGAGAAGGCCCATTCCGCTTTGACTGATTGGAAACCGGTAAGCGATCGTATGGCCTATGCCCGTTTTAAGGGTAAGTTCTCGGCCATCAGTGTCTATACTCCAATGCTGTCGGCAGATGACCG